CGACCGTTAAAACCAGCAGAACCTTTGCTCCTTAAACTTTTTGCATTCAAGTTGCTATTAAACCAAAACAAATAACCTACTCTTCACGCCAGCGTCCAAGGCTAACAATTTAAGTATGAATCATAGCAAATAAAGCATGTTCACGGCTGTTTGGACCCTCATTTGTTTGCGGTCACAAAATTCTTGGAATCCGAAGAAATATCTGTGAAATCCAATTTAGAGATCTTGTTAAATACAGCCTTGGTTTTAGAAGAATCCCACGATTAATATATTATTAAGATAGACTGTGAGTTTAAATCATAAAAAATATTTTTATTAACAAGGTGAGCAGAGCAACAGAGCAAAACCTTCAGTGGTGGGGATTCTCAGAGGGTTCAAACTTGGAGTGCAATTGTGGTTGTGTTCTCCAGTCGATGAAGCACACATGATGTCGTGTCCTGCGTGCCCAAACAACTGCACGACTGTAAGATTTAATGAAGGCTACTGAAAACGCCACTCTTGTAGCAGAGTTTTGGGCTAACAGTGTGTAGGTTTCTTTCTTGTCGCCAAGACAAGAAGATGATTCAACCTCTAATTAAAAATCTTGAATCAAAAATCTATTCAGGACTCAAATCTCGTATTTAGTTGTTATGTAATTTCCGTCAGATCTTTTGACTTAACCTAAAATTACCCTGATCGCAAAACTCTACATTCTAAAACCTTTTCCGACTCCTTTTAAAGAAAAACTTCGACTGAGATCCACACCTAAAAGCTAGATTAGAATATTAGAATACATTTTTACAACCACTCCTCCACCTAATATTGCCCCATGTTTGACTGGTAGATAATGTTGGCATTAAGTCCTCTTTTATCTATATTTTTAATAACTCGACTACTTAAGCCGAAGACTCGTTAATTCGTTAACGAGATGCGATTGGGAATATCGAGTTCTAATTACTTGACGCTATAACTGTATTAAGTGACACCTTATTACAAGTGGTTAAGGTCGAAAATGAGATAAATTATTCCGGGTTGGATACTAAGGGTCAAATCACATGGAGAAAGCGTGTTTATAATAAAATATGAAGGATCATGTTCATAGAAGTTTCTAATTTTGAAAAGTTTAATGAGTAAAAAGCAAAAATAATATTTTAGATTTGGCCTGACCGTTAAAATCTTCTCTACATAGTATTTTTCATCATCATCATCATCATTTCAGCCATAGGACATCCACTGCTGAACATAGGCCTCCCCCAATGCTTTCCATGTTGCCCGGTTGGTAGCTGCCTACCACAGTATATTTTTGCGTCTACATAAAATTGTTAACCCTTGAAAAAGCTGACAAAAATGACTTTATTAAATAAATACCGGAATGCGTCACAGCATAGTTATATTTGTTGGAATTTTTGTCGGGAAACTGAAGCGTCATGTTTAGTAGTTTTATGTGACAGGCCAAATTATGCCAAATTACAAAAAATAATGGACTCAAAATACCCGTTAGTGTATCCAAGGCTTAACCGTCTCTGGTCCGATTGCTACAGAATTGACACACATTATTCAATTGTTTCTACTCTCTGTATAACAGAACAGTGAATTTTACTGTGACTCCCACCTTTACATTTGCAAATCGTGCAAATAAGACAGTGAAAGAAATCTCCCAAGTATGACAGAGACGCGAGATAGTACAGGTTTCATACGTGACACCATGCAGACGACATTTTGAATGCAAAACAATGATTTGAAGGAAAAAATGTCGGTTCGTAAATACGGCCTATAAAAATACGTGAGCAAGCCTGTTATGGGACAAAGGAATTTTAAGTCTATATTGAGGCAATTTGTGCTAACTGCAGAAAGGAGGGTGACGGTTAAAATGACAGCATAAACGAGAGTTAATTAATAGCGAAAAATAAATAATGATTTTTCATTTCGATGTTACATTTAAAAGCTTCGCGCGAGGGTAGCTTATGTGTATTTAATTAATACACAGACAATACTACGTCAAATGCGCTATTTTCACGATGCAAATAAAAGCCATAAAAAGCTTTTAACATAAATACAAGGATTTATTTAAAAATAAGGGACATTTGATACGGATAATGCACCTAGAAGTAGAAAAATATGGGTTAAAACTTTAACTTCACATTTTGTCTTAAACGCCAGAGATTATTAGAAGTAATACAAAATCAAGCACCATTTTTGCGGTCTCGTCGCTAAGAAGCGATCTCTCCCATACAACCTGTAGAGAGGGTAGGTTTAAAATAAACAGTTTTTAATTAGTCTGGCTTATTATGGCTATTATCCGTCCATTATAAGCGAGTCCTAGACAGCTAATTCGAATTAACTGGCGAGTGCTTTCCATATTGACCCACTAAAAGTACAATGAACGGCACGTTAAGCTAAACACCGTAGGACCTTATACAGTTGTAATAGAGGCGAATATGCAACAAAAATGTTTAGTCTGATTTGTCGCCGTCTGTACATTATAACCAACTCTAATATAGCCCAATAAGGTACACTTTTCAGAACAGGGCTTTCCCAATTTTGCTGCAAATAAACAATTATTTATTTTAATCATATTACTGCGTATTCCAGCCCATTCCCGCCATTTCCAGGAACTGCGCACGTTTTACCAGGAATTCGGATTTTGCATTAAAATTCGCATTTACCAAAACAAATTGTGGAACACGTTACCGTTTTTCTTTGTTTGATAGTTTATTTTAACGTTTGAATTTATTGGGACGGTTAAGCTTTTTCAATTAAAATTTTATTGACGATTCAGATTTAAAACGATAAAATTAAATGTGTTCGGATTAAAGGAGCCGATAATTGGTAATTACAGTATTACACATTTTTGAGATACCAAAGAGTTAAGTTAAATATTAACCCGATTTCTAAACTATAAAGATTCAAAAATAGTTGACTTATTATTCGAAGACTATTTCTGGTAAAAATGGGTTTTACTATTATGCAGAAAAAACGTCAATCGACATAAGAAAATATGGATAACAAAAGTTCTCATGTAGATACCATAGATAGGAAGGCTCAGAATGGGTAATGTTCATGCCTGGTGGACCGATGACCTAGTTAGTTAAGGTTGCTGGAATCCGCTGGATGCAAACGGTGGGCGCTTTGATTTAGCTTCTAGCTTAATGTCCAACTGTGGGCTTTTCAATGTTCATGATGACATATTTACGGGACTATTCCCACCACTGCAACTGTGTAGCCAGGATCTACAGCTTGACCGCCAATAATATAATAACCCAACCAGTGATGTGAAGTTAGTACCGGCGGAAATTTAATCTGTCATTGGACCCGCAACGAAATTAATCAGAGGAACAAAGGCGTTGGAAGTTAAGGAGTACAAACAAAAGTATTAAGCGACAGTAGCTGAACGGTGAAGGTGTCGGACTGGCCGCGAGTTCGATTCCCGCCGCACTGGACTATTGTGGTAAACCCACTTGTAACACAAGCATATTTAGCTCAGCAATAGGGGTTAACGGGATTATTAAATTGTGCAATACATTTCTTATAAACTTAAAACCTTTCAGAAAAGATATAAGTACTCCAAGGACACACAGACCTACTGTAACTATTTCTATTACCACAATCTTTCCCCACATCACAGCCCATTCGAGTCGTGTCCGACTGATCAGATTAACTCGAACCGGTCCTCGAATCCCGGACTAAAAAGCACAAAAAACAAGCTAATAACAACAAATAACGAGGCGTCGGGCGCGTAGTGACGTGTGAACGTCGATAGGACCGTGTGAAAAATTATCGATATCCACAGATCATGTTAACGGCTATTCTAGGTGTTATGATGCCATTAACATTAATCAGCTCCTATTATGATCGGAGAGATATTAATCTGAGATTTTAAAAGGTGTAAAACAGCGAATTAAAGATTTTTACACGGCTAGAAGGCTGACATGGACTAACGTGATAATGACGGCCTCAGGTTCTAGATAATAGATGTTAATTAATATTGAACACCATTTAACAACTGTTTTAAAGGAAATAGATTTGAAATATGAACTTTTTGCTATTTCACGAGATACTTGACATTAAAGTGTAAGTACGTCCATTCATACTTTAACTGTAAACATGTGTTAACGTTAAGTGATAACCATTTCTTACACATGTTATAACATAGGAGTTTAAAGTCCACAACTTATCAGCGTCACATTAACAAGTCGTCCTGGCATTTAAAAGCTCACTAATCGATATTTATCCATCGACACCCACCACAACACTGGTAGGCGTAACCCATATGAAATTATACGAAAATATTGTAACCATAGTGACAGATAATTATAAGTCAGCGAGAAAACACACATAATTCTGGGGCAACCGCCGAGAGCGGTGATAATTCCGGTCGGAATCAATTATACATCACTAGCCTGTTATCGAGTGATCGATTGGAGTCGTGATCTCGAGAAATTTTAAGGATTACATATTTTGTGACGTCCTTTTTGTGACTGTTGCTTGCAAACACTACGTAGATTCGTGGTAGAGTTTTAGGTTGTCATATTTTAACCTTGACCATAACCATAACCGATGTTTTTGTATGAAGTTTGACAACTTTTGCCGTTTGTTAAAGTTAAAGTATGATGGTGCAACCCAGTCACTTTTAATTGTTTACTAACTGGTTTTTATAATGTTTACAATTTAATATTTCCGAATGAGCAAACAGGGTGTGCAATACTCTACTTTTAAATACAAGCAATAGTTCTGAATTATATCAATAGTGTAGTTGTTAAATTTTAAGACCTATGGTTTTGCTTAAGGATGAGTGTCTTCCAGAGCGGTGGATTTTGTGCCAAAATGTAAAATAATATCAAATCAAATACTACCCCAAAGCCTTCCTCGACTGAACAGGTACCTTATTGGCATATCATTTCTATTATTATGTTAGATAGATCGCATCTGCGCCCCTGGGGTGAGATTGTTATCAAGATCACGCCTAAAAGTATTTTTAGATAACAATCCTAAATTCTTTCTATTCATTTCATAACACTTACCGAAAACAGGACTTAAATCCGACTTCACCGAAAGTTTACCGGAGTAAGGCTCGCCAGACTTTTCCTGTAACAAAACAAATTAAAACATTAGAGGCCGCACAAATGTCAACTTTACAAGGGAATTTCAAACAAATGTAGTAACTTCCATCTATTTTTCACTTTTTCACTTAAAGGATTTGAGTCTTCCAACGACTTTGATTTTTTTGTGAAATTTGAGTTCTCCACGGGCCATGGTCACCGGAATGATTTTTTAAATATTTTTTCTTCCAGCAACTGGGTCCACTCTAAGATTCTAGCTAGAGTAGATTTTTGTTGATTTGTTGTCAGAAGTTGCCGGTGGAAAAAATATTAAAAATAACTAAAATTTTTGGACCAAGTTGTTAGAAGACTCGATGCGTTACCGTTTGCCACATTTATACTACTGCATCTATGGATAGAGCAGAATTTTTGGAGATATTAATGTATTTTTGAACAACTTGAAAGTTGGCGTTTTAATCACATTTTGTTTTAAGGTAATAAATTAAAAACCGGAACTTAAGTCATATGTTTTGACTCATTACCGGTTTTTAGACAAAAGATTGTATGGAATGTGAATTAAAAAGTTAATATGTCAACGTCAATACTTTCTTTTTCCATTCCGTAGTTTAATCAATGGCATATTTTGATTATTTCTGACTGATTACTACTGTTAGAGATATTCATATGAGTGACTTCTATTCGTGAATTGATAAATTACGCTTTTGAGGATTCTTTTGCGAATTCGAATGGTTCAAAGATACTAAAAACATAGCAGTAGGTTCGCTAAAATGATAGTTAAACTTTACGTTTTTAATTAATGGCATCATGTGATCATTCCATTAAATTTTTATGTAGAGCTCCCAATAATTTATGATAATTAATTCTATTATTATTGCTTATTAATACTGTATATTGTTAATGCTATTTTATACAAATAATTAGTTATTAAATAGTTCATTTATTTCCAAATTAAAGTCATATAGGGTTATTAGCCATTTCAACCGCAGTTATGGCCAACAAATAATTAAAATGCAGATTGAATAGGCACATTTACTATTAAAACCTATTTTTATACAATACATAAGCGAATAAATACTTTCGAGTACAATTTTAATTACAGAATATAAAAATAGCCCACCCACGTTTCGACCATAAAATATTTCGAAAAAACTTTCAATTTTACACCTTGGCCGTAACTGCTCCAGGAATTTAAAAAGTAAAGTAAAGTGAGGCGATAAATATATTTTATGTCTAATAGCTAGCTAATACACCCCTCGGTGGACATACGACATACTAGACGCCATATTAGGGCGTGTTACGAGCGAAGACAGGTGTGGCAAAAGTCAGCCTTTTTTTAAAGTTCCAGGTTGACGTTTCGCATGTTTTTTGAAAATGACAGTTTTTATCGAGCGGGTTGTAAACAAGTGACTTCGCAGCCTTAGTGTCAGAGTTAATGACCGGTACAGCATCGTCTTATGTCGATAAAGTAAGGGAGGAAATAAGTGAACATCAGGCCTCTTCATCCCGATGTTTTTTTTAAAATGACAGTTTTTACCGAGCGGGTTGTAAACAAGTGACTTCGCAGCCCTAGTTTTAGAGTTAATGACTGACAAGTATCGTATTATGTCGATGAAGGCAACCAAGGGAGGAAATAAGGCATCAGGCCTCTTCAGCCCGTCTGGCCAGCGTGGGGACTGTAGGCCAAATCCTCCATTTGCCTCTGGTAAATTAGGGATCAGTAGTGTTCCCGATCACATCCCCAAGCAGGCTCTGGATTGGAACCCCCAAGGAAAACGCAAACGTGGTCGCCCCAGGCAAACTGTGGCAGACAAGGCGAAGAAAATCGGCAAGACTTGGAGCGAGATCAAACGCGAAGCTCAAGACCGAACGCGATGGAGGAATGTTGTGGACGCCCTCTGCCCCATCTAGGGGACATAGGACCTTAAGTCAAGAGTTTGTGCAGTGGAGACTAAATGACCTAATGATGATGAGACATCTGACATGGGTTATATGATCTGACACAAAGCAGACCAGACACCAATAATAATGATACTAAATTGAAGTAATGTCGTTTACTACTTGTCATTCGTGGTTGGAATTAAAGAATAGCGGTTATACCTACTCGTAGTGCGAGAGTGATATTTGGAAAGATTTAGAATGTCACTAGCTTTCCGCCCGCGGCTTCGCCCGCGTGGAATTTCGTTTGTTAAATTTTCCTGAATTTTCTTTGCTATAAACCTCACGGAGCCCGAGACCTTTCCAACGAATGCAAAACCGTGGAAATCGGTTCGTGCGTTCTGGAGTTATAGCGTCAGGGAGGAAAACCCGACTTATTTTTATATAGTAGATTATCGTAGGAAAGAAAGACTAATACTGATGTCATTATTACTGGAGTCTAGAAGCCTTTGGGGCTTCGATTTCACTCGATTTTTTTCCCACAACAATTTTAATGTAACCTTGCGCCATTTTAACGTAACCGAAACTCAAATCCATAACCGGTCAAAGATCTTGTATTAAACTGGAATTACTCTAATAAAAGCCGTAAAACCAATCTCGGAACGTTTAGAGTTAACTTCCGCCGAGTTTAACCCAAATAGGGATGCTCTATCAGTGCTATTACGGAACCAACCGCCCGTTCGAATCTCGACACCTTATAGATATCGAAGGGTGTATTATGGTGTCGCTCGCAAGATCGATTGATTATTTTCGATCGATTACTTTTATGTACTTGGTGCCAAATAAACATTTTTCTTTCTTTCTTATTGGTTTGGTGGAACCATTAGGAGAAAAACGGTCAGATCTGCTATCTGTTGATACATTTTATATTTAATATCGTATATCAAATTATGTAATGTACTTATGCATAATACTTATCTATCACATTTCACAATAAGTAGATGAAAAAGATGCCAATTTGAAACGCAATTCAAAATATTGATTTGATTCCAGCATTTTGTTTTGATTGTAAGTAGGTACCTATACATGTCAAAACAGGCGACAGTTATGCAGTCTCGACACCGACCGTCACAGTTCTGCAAAGTGGCTCTTATTTGGTGTGTAGTAAAGGCGATTTCAAGGCCAACGTGTTACGTGTAACGTGCTGCGAGCACTTGTTATGCACTGATGATAATCATTAACATGACAGGGCAGGCTGTTATCGATATCATTGATCCCTGAATCTGATATTTTGTTATCAAAGGCTAAATATATGTAGGCGAGATAAGGTTAGATCAATATTCTCACTTTTAGTACGTCGATAAAATCATAATGTTGATGTGGTGTTTTATTTAACAGGATGTATAGCTACTTGTTTTGGTTTGACTGAATAAATCAGATAAAAATCGCGATAGGTAAATTCGTGCCGTGAACTTGCGATCTATCATCAGTTTCTCATAACAAGCGTAAAATACATAAATTAATAGATTTTCTATCATTACCATTCTCGAGTAGTTCCAGAATAGGCGCCCAATATTATCTTGCGTCAGTAGGAGGGGAGTAATTGGATGAGTCCGAATCAGTTTACCCCACTCGGACGTGTTTACCCCAAATCAATGGTAACAGATTTCCCCAATTTGTAGGTAATTTTTCCAGCGATTACAAGAATGCGGGCGGCGCGTGCCAAAGGACGTTTATGTTTGCCCAGCGGAATTCCTATGGAGTTGGTATTAAATTTTTGGACGAGGTTTGAATTTATATTGTGACAGTGACACGCGAAATATTTTATATTTTTTAGTTTGAATTTTTTTTATGGCATGTTAAAAAATTAAAAATACTAAAAGAATGAAATGCGACATCGTTACTGAATATACAAAATCCTTTAAGCTCTGATACAGTTACATAAACAAAGGCTTGGAAGCTTATTTTCCAAGCATTAGAATTCAAATTCGCACAGGAATCCTATTGGTTAAAAAATAGTCATCCATTGCAGGTATACTCTTCAACAAAAACAAGTAAGTAATAATTTATTTTTAGTACCCATTCCATACTAAAATGAAAGCATCCCAAGTTAAAATCGAATTCCCCGGATGTCGCCAGCCCACTAAAATTAACTAATTAAATAAATCAACTGCATCACCAAAACTTATATTCTACGTGCACCCACCATTTATAACGGTAAAATCAATTTAACAATTTCAATACGTTTCCCAACTAAAAGGCAGTGCGCACGCGTGAAAAAACGTCCGAGTCTCTCCCGTAATCACAGAGCTCGGCCCACGGATGCGTACGCGCAGGGCTGCCTCTTACAACTTAGGGGATTCGATCCAAATTCCAGACATAGTGATATTTGCATTAAAGAACAAATAATATTAAAACTTGAAAAAACGAATTGCCTTTGAGCCTCCTACCCTATTAGATGTTCTGGCCGCTGACTACAGAGATATAGGAAAAACCCCCTGAAATACTCAAATGCAGGTGATCAAATTCTTCAAGTTTTTTTTTATCCACAACGAGGAAGCTCCTGGCCTGTATCTCACCTGATGCTGATGGTATAAGTTTATCTTGCAACTTGAAAAAAGTTAGGTACTTATTTCATAGAGTTTTCACGAATTCGGATCGGATGCAAGACTTGCGTGATTCTTGTAATATTCGATTTTAGAGTATATTTTTATGTAAGGTTCGTTAACGTTGCTACTAATAATTCTATTATGGAGACATTGCCGATTTGCCAATTTGGTATTTGCTAGGATTTTCAGTCTAACAATGAGGATCTCGCGATAATACAAGTAGCATTTATAAGGAATTCTAAGGCACTGTTCCGAGGAAAAATACTAATCTATAAATCTCACTTATTGATGTCTCTGTTAAAATTATTACTCAGCTACAATTCCGCTCGGCGAAGCAGAAAAATGCTAACAATGATAAATCTCAACAAAACTTAGTAAATCAATCTCTCACGGATTGATGTATCACTGAAGTTTTTATCGTGTTAATAAAGATACTAATATAACTATAATGTCGACCGTTTATATTCCGTTTAAAAAATGAAGAAAAGAAACTGTAGCAACATCGAAGGTAATTTAGTACGATGAAATATTAATGATAGAT